TTGATTATGCGGAGGCTGATGGCTGGGTAGGATAGAGCTTGTTACCCAGACTGTGGGTACCCGCCCCCTGTTCCCAGCAGGCTGGATCCACTCAGTAAGTAGAGCAAAGGTGAGCAGATGGTTTATGTTACTGTAAGGCTGTCGGAGGATACACCAGGGATGTCTGCAGAATTTAACCCTTACAGTGTGTGAGAGAGCAACCAATTGTATTGCTTCCTCAGGCACATACCAGCATGGCTTGGTTTGCGGTCTCTAAAATTCAGTATTGGCTACATTGTTAGCCACCATGGCTTGGTGTTAGTACACGCACCACGATCACCGCATGAGCTTGCACTCACTTCTTCAACTTCACTAAACAAAAAACAAACTGGTGAATTGAAAACCAAAAGGAAAAAACTAATATACCAATAGCTGATGTTAAAATATTTTCCTACTAGGCTATTGCTACAACTTAACTAATGTAGCGTAAACTTTTTAATGCAATTTGGTTGATCGCAGTTCTGAGTTTAGTGAATAAACCCATTACATGGCTGTTCAGTGCGGTTTCAACATTTAGGCCCAAGTAAACTGAAAGTATAGCTGGGTTTGGGATTTTTTTTATTTTCAATATGTCTTTTCTGGCATAAAATCAAAAGAATTTAAGTTCCCATTTCTAATAGTGCACATTTTAGTGAATAACTGTGAGTCAGACCAGGAATTGAACTGCATACACTTACTCATGGCTCCCATGCGATTTTATAATAGAGGAAGTTGTTTAAAAATGATTCTTTAATGAAGGTGACCTTGATGTGTAAATGTAGCATTTTAAGGTCCACATTTCATTCTGATTATAGCAATTTAATGTATAGAACACCTTTTATAGTCATTGTCATTTGTCAACAGTGTCACACCCAAGTAGTTTAGATGTCATTCTACATGGCACGAGAGCTGGACCTGTTGCTAGAAAGGAGGCAAAAAGTGATAGACTTTTTACAAGCCAATTTGATCTTTTAGCCATAAATGCACTTTTTAAAAATAGATTATTGTTTAAAGCAGAATTATGGCTTAGCAAAGAGGTAACTGTTATTGTATAAGACACATTTCTTTAATGTATTTGTTTCCTTAATTACAGGTAGATGTTTTGAAAAAAAAGTTAAAGCTGTGCTGTCATGGCCCCATCAGATTTTTTTTTTTTTAATTTGTAATTTATTTTATTTTTTGTTCTCCCTCCCTCCCGACTTATCTCATTTTATTGTCACCCCTCCCCCCCAAAAGACCTCTAGCTCCTCCATTGTAATTTTTTTTTTTTTTTTTAGCTCTCTCATTTCTTTTCTGGATCTATGTCCTAAGTGCCATCATTGTGTTCCTGGATATCGTTTACCGCATCACCTTAATCGGCCCACACTATTTGCCGCAGTGAAATTCCCACACATGCTCACCTGTAGACTTTCAGCTATTTGTCCATTCATCCGAAAGCCAAAGGAATGAATAGAAATTATAAAGAATTATATGAAGACCGAATTGCAATTTGTTCTTCATTCGTTTAGTTTATTGCAAGGAGGGAGTTACCGGTACATGGCCTTATAATCATTATGACTCCCCATATTAGTCAGCTGCTCACTGTTGTAAAAAAATACTCCAGTAATCCAATAATAGTGGGCACTTATTATTAGCAGGGGATGGCATAATTGGCATAGTGTCCCTCACTCGTGTCCTGTGAGTGAGGGCTGTTAAACTAAACGGACGACCTAGTGTGTTTCCCTGCCCCCGCCTTCATCCATTGGCTGTGGATGCGGTGACTAAATGATAGTGGGGAAGACCTATTGTCCCCACCCATTGATGGCGGCCGAGTGCCCTAAATGATTGGGGGGACCTATTGTCCCCCCTCAGTCCCCATCTATTAGCAGCAGCTGGGGTCCTAAATGAGGCTCTCTAGCCTCAGAAAAGTTGACTTTGAGTGCTCTGATTTGTTGGCATTATGGTGCTTTTTTTTTTTTCTTCTAATAATCATTTAGCACCCACAGTCAGTGGGGACTGGGAGGGATGGGACTATAGGCCGCCCTTTTTTTTTTTTTTCCAGCTTGAAGTTTATTGAAGTTTAAAAATGAGGGGAGGGTACAGAACAGAAGAGGGTGGGGAAGGGAAGCCAGTAGATTCATTCATATGACAATTAACAATTACAGAGGCTGTTATTGCATAGCGATCAATTTGTGCAATGTAGGGTCGCATCTCTGTCATCCTGAACCCTTCGTGGAGACATAGACCCTATGTATTCGGAACTTACACATCACTCACTTTCTTTTTTTTTTTCTCCTTTTGTCTCCCCTAAAATACACAAAATAAATTAATTTGCAATGTTCTACGTGTGTAGGCATAGCTTGTGCCATTTGTACCTCTGGGGTTACTGGAATAAACCACTGGGGCATTGATTGATTACACATATTTGGTCTGAACCTGTCACTATGTACGGTGCAAATTTTGTACTCCAAGTTTCCTGTGTACCTAGGAGGGTATGGGGTGAACTTGGAGAGTCTGTCTGTTGCTTTGTGGAGCGACGAACACTGTTCAGTGTGGCCAGGGAAGGGGGTAACTGGATTTAACCACAGTGTTCGCAGCAGGCACTACATTCAGGTCCTATTGGGGC